TGGAAAGGACCATGTGAAACCAATATACCGCGATCTGGCATGGCAAAATATTATATTTGGTTGAAGCATGAACATTTTTTACCCCACACTTGTGCCTGTTTGCATAGGAAAACATGCTTGCATATGACTTTACCAATGTCATTGCTGTCATATTCTTCAGAATACATATTTTCAAAGAAACTAGGTCTTTCATATCTTTGGTTATTGTTTATCAGTGCTGTAAAAACATAGTTCCTACCCTCAACTTACAATCTAATTCAGATACAGAAATCAAAGTTCATACACATGTGATGCACAGGTTGAAGGTACAGTCTTGTAAGAGATCTGTGTATTTTTTTTAATAACCATCTGGATTGTGGAGTCAAGACTATTGTTCAAAGTCTCCACAGAAGGTGCTTGTTTTCATTAGGGATTTGAATGACGAAAGGTTAAGTAAGGCAGGAACATTAGGGGAAATATTTTTATAGGAGAAAAATGCAATACTCCAGTATAATTTGCGGGGTATGTGCATGCAATTGAGATACATGGTTTCTGTTCTGTTCAAATGATCCCTCTTTGTTTCTGAGATGTATGTCAATGGCTGCTGTGCAATTCGAAAAAGAAGGCAGTACTTCCTAGTCAATGGGTTTACATGGAATAAACAATTTCAGATTCATTACTCATCTGTGGATTACACTGTACAGCAATCAACTGCACCTGACTGAGGAAGGAAAAATGGACTGAGTTTGGATGAAGAGTAGGTGTTCTCTGTCTCAGCCCCCGCTCCTTTCTATTTCCTTGCTCTGTAGTTATGCACTGCAGGTGCCCCACAGACAGTGTTCTATATAAGCTGTGCACTTGTGTGGCACTCTGCAGAGATTCAAATGCTGCACAGCTGATTAGCAGAGAGACCACAGCTAGGTTTTTGTTTCTACTGGTCATGCACATTTGCACATGCATTGGTGCACATAAAATTATTCTGCACATGGATGAAAAGGATTAGCCGGAACATTGCCCATGGCAGAGAACTTAATTCAGGGTTTAAACTGGAATAACAAACAATGTGCTTCAATAGGTCATCTGCCTTCATTTCTATAGGGGAAGTAATGCAGTCACCATTTGTGACTTCCCCGCCCCTGATATGCAGGCAACAATATCACTGGTGTATTATGTGCTAGTGGTTTCTATCATACAGAGTAACAGAGGGTGTGTCTAGACTACAGGGTTTTGTCGACAAAAGTCCACTTTTGTTGACAAAACTATACCTGCGTCCACACTGCCTTTGAGTTATGTCGACATAACGTCGACAAAACTCAGCAGTTTTGTCGACGTATGTAAACCTCATTCTACGAGGAATAACACCTTTTGTTGACAGAGTTCTGTTGATAGAAGGCTTTATTGCATCTACACTGTCCTTTGCGTCCACACTGTTATGTCGACAAAGCGGCTTGCTTTGTCGACAGAACTGGATGTAGTCTAGACGCTCTTTGTCGACAGAAGCTTTGTCGACAGTATCTGTCGACAAAACTTCTGTCGACAAAACCCTGTAGTCTAGACGTACCCAGAGATAACAGCATAGGCTTGAATGGAGACAAGCATTTGCTGCCCAGCCCTCCTTGCTTCATGAGGGCTGTTGTTGGCAAATACACTCTGAACATAAAGCCCTGCAGCATGGGCAAGGACTGGTTGAATAGTTTAAGAGACTAGATTTAGGATCCAAAATCCCATTTTCAAAAGAAACATTGGCATTCAGAGGACCACAGTTAATAGGAATTACACTCCTAAGTGTCTGAGCTGCTTTTGACAATGAGACTCAGATTTGCAAGTCACTTTGAAATTTTTGAAAGTGTCATCTCTTGTCTCAAATATGCATAAAGAAAAATATTCAGTGTGTTTTTTTCAAATCTAAGTAAGATCATCTCCTTTTTTGTTTGCTGCACAATTGCTCTCCTTGGACCACATTCAAATGCCTTTACCCATTTTGAAGAGTACCTTACTCCACAAGTAGTCTTAAATAGGAATCCTTGCAGGATAAGGTGTTTCCCAAACAGTGGCAGAAAAGCAAGTGAGTAAAAGTGACAGAATCTGTCTCTTTGTATCTACTATGTCAATGAACCTGTTGTCTCTATTTTTTTTTAATACACACTTTTATACTTGATTGCAATTGCATTTTTGTACTTCCATTTAATATTAATTCCTTTTCCCATTACCCTTTTCCTGTATATTTCAAGTAGTAAATATCCCTGAAAATCCTCCACTGAAGTATTAACATCACCAGATTTAAAAAGGAGCAGAAAAATGTTGACTGAATTTAGTCATTGTTGAAAACTGGGGAGGGGAAGAGACCAAACATTGTTATGTAGGAAATCTGGGGTCAGATCCTGGATTGTTTGTACACCCCAAACTCCCATCGATTAGCAAGCAATAACAAGTATTGACTCAGTTCATGATTTTGAATATCAATAAAATTGTTTTTCTGTTTTATTAGGTAATATAAAAATGTCACTCAAGGGCTCCTTCATTATGAAGTACACCCGATTTAAGGTCACAAGACCTGATTCTATTCCTCCTGAAGCGAATGGTAAAATTCCAAGTGATTCTATGGAAGTAAGAGCATGCTCTAGTCCTGCAATTTTTATTCAGGCAAAGTTCCCATTATCTTTAGTTGTGCAAAAAATGCCAGATTGACCATTGACATTTATCATATAATAAGTGAAATATTCAGGACTAGATAGTCAGCTGTTTTAAAGTGGCATAGCTCTGCTGAAATCAAGGGGACTATGCTGGTTTGCCCCAGCTGGTGATGTGTCTCTGGCCTTTTTATTTCATCACAATAAAATTAAAGACATGAAGAATGTGAAGTTAAAAACACCACTTTTAAAGAGTATTAAAACAATTATTGTAAAATATATTTTTCCTACATCATAACATACTGTGTGTGTACATATCTAATTATATGTAATAGGTAGCTGTTTTCTTTAGCTGTATTTATGAAACCATAATGTGTTCATAGGTTTATTATTAGTTTACATGAATTTAATAGATTACAATTCTCTTGTAATCTGGATTTGGGTCACTTGAGAGACTAAATTTGTGAATCTAAATGTAAAATTAAATCAGAGTTTATTAAGAGAAATATAATCAGTAACTTACTACACTGATATCTTGCAATCAGCTATTATCCTAAGATATTGTTACCACCCATTTAATAATAGAATCTGTGACCTCATCGTTCCTTCCTATTTGAGTCCGGACTCTGTTTATGTAATGAAAAGCAGGCTCCTACTTTCCTTGTTTCAAGGGGGATTTTGCCTGCACAAAGAATTGTAGATCAGACTTACACGGTCCCGGAGACCTCGGAAATTAAACGGAGGAAAAGACAGTGTGATGGAGTCTCGAGCAAAGAGAAGAAACGTTAACAAAACGTCACTAGAAAAAGAAGAAAGTGCGCAGGGTTGGAGATACAAGCTCTATCTGGTTCCCAATCTCGTTGTCCTTACTGAAGCAAAACTTCTATTGGCTACTATCTATGGAATTTATTTTATCTTGTCTAAAATTATCAGATGTAGAGGTCTGATTGATGTCAAGGAGAGTTTTGCCGTTGGATTCAGGATTGAGCCTGAGGAGACTAATGCTGGGTACTGAAACACGATTTAGGCGCCTAAAGAAGGAGCCTGTTGTCCCCAGGTGCGGAGCATCCGCCACTCCCATTGACTTCAGTGGTAGTTAATAGTTGAAAATCAGATCATCAGATAACTGAGAACCTAGTACTAGCAACACTTTTGCATCTAATTTGACGTTAGACAAGTGATCTCACTAGCTTCAATTAAATGTATTGGAATGAACAGTTACTCCGGTGCAAGAGTGCTTGCAGGATAAGGCCAGAAATATGGGTGTAGGTGTCGAATTTTAAGACACTAAATTTGGAAGTTCCATCACTGTTTTTTCTACTGCTTTCTCGCCAGCGATATCGAACTGGATCACCACCTAGTCCCTAGTCTTGTGGATGTCTTGTCTGCAGGGTCATATCTTTCCCTGACTTCCCCAAAGCAAACCCTTACGGTTTTCGTGACACCTTTAACTTGTATTTCAGCGGTTGTTGTTTTGATTTTGGTTGTTGTGCATATCCCCTTCCCTGGGAAGCTCTCTCTGGAGGAGATTCCGTGTAATGAGGCAACAATCAGAAAGCCAATGTCGTCTATTTTCGTAAAGAAAAAAAAAATACCGGGTATCAAATTGAACTGAAAAAAAAATCGAAAGAGCAAGTGAAGCGGAAATTTAAAGCCCCCTCTCCTAATAATAACAGTATAAATAACCGAAGACATCTTGTAAACAGTGCGGTCATAACCCTGAAACATTAAACAGCTCGGTGGGATCTGGCGCATCAGTTGCCTGCGGACTCCCCTGGCGCAGAGGAAAGAGCCCGACGCTCTCTGTTTATCTCAACTTAATCTCCCACAGACTAGCTGATCAATAGAGAGGAAGATGTTTAATTAAAAAAAATTCTAGGCACCGCGAACCTGGGCCTGGGGGGATCCTTCACCCCCATTATTTTGTAGGGGAAGAAAATCTACTCCAGAAATGACCAGACCTCGGATTGTCCTCCTCGGCAGTCACGGAAAGTTAGTCTTTTTTAATTTAAAGAAAGGGTTAGCCTTGACCATCGACATCAATTTGTACCTCAGAGTAAAGCGGCGCTCTGAAAACTACAGCATCACGTGCGGAGCAGGAAGCTGCGGCGATCTTTGTTGCTGGTCAGTTTCAAAGTGCACGAAGTTGCTCTATCAGTGCTTGAATCCCCAATCTGCAAATTATTAATTACACTTCGGGGTTAATTCTCTCTCCCTCTCTCAGTACAATGTAAGACGAGAAGTGCGAACTGGCGATCAAGTTCCAAACATCTTCCTTCCCCCTACCCAAAATGATATGGTCCACATCTTCTTAATTAGGAAAACAAACACTTTATAATCTGGGGTCAAAGAGTTTTGTTCCCAGATCTGTCACCCCACACACATTTGGTTGCTTTCAGGGGAACCGAGGACGTGGTGTCCTTCCACAAACCGCTCCAGCGCCCAAAACGAAAACTAGACCGCTCTGGATTTATTTTCAATATAAAAGGTTTATTCACAGAACTATAGCACGGCCTGTTTGAAGAAAATATATCTATATATCTTTAAGGTGAATTACTTTATAGATGTGACTGTCAAAGTCAATTATTTCTATGCATCTACATATGTCACAATATATCATACAAAAGATACACTTTGGTACGTTTTGTTTGCTCTCCCTCGCTTTTCAGCACTTGAACCAGCAAGGCTGCGTTGCGGATTGTCCACTGTACACGCGTTAATAAAGTTAAATATATGGGATCTTTGGGGTGGAGTCTCTGCAAATGTACATTTGGTCTCTTCTTTCGTGGTGGAGGATGAATGAACCCCCTCGTCTCTATAAAGTGTTCTTTAGGGGGGAGTCTCCAGGTGCCCTCTCCATCTCCCCCGCCACACAGACACCGACACTGAAGATTGTCTCCTAGGCTTGAGGCTGGTCAGGATGCTGTAGGTCCACATAGGCGATTTGTGTTCACCACTTCTTTCAGGTCACTCTCTGGTTTGCCAGCCACCATAAAGGGCCACGTCTGTAGCAGGAAATGACATGGGATGGGAAAGAGGGGAGGGGTAAAAATGGAGTTATCACCATGACTAATGATCTTACAAGTGCCTAGTGAGACTGTGATAAACCAGAACACACGGGCCGAATAGTCTCTCCAAGTTTTTAGCAGCAATAAAAAGTGGCTAAGTGCTGGGTTAGTTAGTCTCTTCGAGCGAGGACTCCACTGGGTTTGTACTCAGTGGCCACGCACGTTAAAATGCTTAGCCTCCCAATAAGTGTTCATCTTTCCCTTGTGATTAGATATAGTCCTCGGAGTGATGAATCGCGTTTTATCCATCCCAGAAACCGGGGCCGTCGCTTTTGAGATAAATGAGAGATTTTTCACGAGGACATAATTAATACTAAGCTATAGATCAAAACCGTTCTTCTTAAACTGGGTAATGTCAAGGCACCGCTCTCATGTGCTGCTCTTCTCTTTTAAAAATGCAACTTATTTGCTGTCCTACCAGAAGTCTCAGCTTTCTATTCTTTGCTATTTGCAAGCCAACTCCTGCTGTCCTTACTCTGGTAAAAGTCCCACTCAGGTTAAGAAGAGGTTTAGCCGAGTCAAAAGTGCAGGATTAGACCCATACTTTAAATTATATTATTATTTCCCCTCGTGCTACCGCTGCACTAAGGGCAGCTTTCTTTAATAGCGTTAGCAATAAAAAAAAACCCTGCACATCCGAAAATATGTAGCAAGGAGTACACAAGGGTAGCCCTCTGACTGCCGTGGGCCCACTTGTTAGATGGCTGTGCCTACACATGAGCTAAGATGCAACTGTTTTTAAAAGAAATAGCTCAAACCCTTATCAAATCGCCTAGTGATTAGCAAGCTGCCGGCTCCCTTCCCGCTGAGCCCCGAACTGTAGAAAAACAATTAAAAAGATCACCCCATTGAACGCCCTCAGTGCTTTATGACATTTATTTTACCATGCAATGCACACCCATATGTTCAAATTTAAACGCTAAACGAAAAGAATGATCTATTTTGACCATCGACTTTAGAAAAATCAATTCAGTCCTCGTAGTGGTTTTAATTATTACTGTTATGGACACGGTTGGCAATAAAGCGATAACGAATTACACACTCTCATATACATGCATACACACACATACTTGTGTTTAATTTATCTTTACTGTACTTCCCACTCCACAGAAATATCTAAAAATTACCGACCACATTTTTTATATCCGTTGTTAAATTAGTCACCTCTCACCTAGGATTTAGTGTGTTTCCCCCTCTTCTTAAAGTTCTCATTAACAGAAGAAAGAAACATCCCGATAACAGAAAATACGAAGTCACGAAAGAACAGATCTCCGGTGATTTTTTTTTTAAAACAAGGGTGATGAGTGTGCCTGCTAGTTTACATCAAGAAACAGCAGAAAACAAAGTAGACGTGAAGACCGAATCATTCGTTAAGGAATCGGACCTGTTCCGATATACCGAACAATTCTAAGGGTATTTAATTGAATGAGAAATCCAGTTTGCACAAACATGAGTGTACAACGAACTTGTTCAAGAGCTTAGGGAAGGCATCTCGCTTCCAACATGGTGTGCGTAAAAGGAATCGATTTGCACAGATGCAGCTCGTTTGATTTGTCACCTCCCTTTGAACAGATTCACGCAAGAGAGCCCATGATGTTAAGATCTTTTATAAGTCAACTCTCGGGGAGTGAGGTGACTTGGAAGGTGTCTGTTTTATCCCAGTCAAAGCTATCCCTTAACGCCCCAAATTGATGAAATCATTGGATCTGCTAGCAGTCCAATATTAAGGGTACGTTGCCCCCCCCCCTCGCGTATTCACCGTAGTAGTCAAGGATATTGACAAAGCCACTAAAGGCTGCCACTTACCAGATTGACCGGGTGAATGTAGCCATTTTCATACTTGTCATTGGCCAGGATCTGTCTCAGGTGAGCAATGTAGCTGGATGCCAGTCTCAAGGTGTCCAGTTTGGAAAGCTTGGTGTCCGGAGGGACCCAGGGCAACGTGGTCTTAAGCCTGGAGAAAGCTTTGCTGAGGACCCTCATCCTCGCCCTCTCCCTGGCGTTGGCAGCGTTTCTCTGGACTTGCTTCCCTTCTTGGCTCACTCCATTCAAAGGGCTCTTCTTGGTGGGAGCCTTTTTCCTCTTGCCCGAGGCGCCTCTCCCCTTTTGGGGGGACCCGTTCTCGCAGTTGGAGCCCTCTTCGTTGCTCTCGTTGGACGTCCCGAACTCTTTGGTAGAATCCATTTTCAGGCCGTCGCACTCCAGCAATTCCACCTCCTGAAGGTCCTCCACATCGCTGAGCGAGCCCGTGGACATGGTCTGGGAGCTGCCCAAGGGACAGGGGCGCCTCCAAGCTTCCTCGCGGCGTCTCCCCTCGCCCTGGGGTGGGATAGGCTCGCAGTCAACAGAGGATCCCCGCCCCGCCCCCGCTTGTTGCCCGTGTCTGAGGGAGAGAGAAAGCTGAGGAATTTGGTGAGGACACTAGTAATTTATCTAGGGAATAGAGAGGCGGATCCGGCTGCAGCCCAGGGGAGGGGCCCTGTCCGGCCACCGCCTGTTTCTGCTCACTACATTCACAAACCTCTGCTCCAGAGCAGGAGGGGGAAACAGGCACCGAAGAAGAGTTCCAGCTTCCAGTCACACTTGTAATTCAAATCTCCCCCACTAGAGCAAGGCAGCTCCCCTCTCCTCTGCCCCTTGGAGCTCCCTCCTGCCTGCTAGATGACCCAGGCGTCTGGTGTCATCCTTGTCCCTGACTCCCGATGAAAGCTAAAATACGTCCTGATCAGGATGCTCAGTGGAGCTACCACACAGCCGAGGTGGAGATGGATTTTTAACACAGAGCTGTGTCCTGTAAGCTCATCTGAAAGACATTTGGGGGTGATTGGTTGAGAGTGCATCCTCTTAGTCTGAAACACAGAAGCCGCCCCCCCAGGGAAAGCACACAGAAACTGAAGCCAGGAGCTCTGAATTCTGTTACAGGCTTCCTGTGTGACGTTTGGCTAAGCAGCTCAGTGCTTGAGTTTACCCATCTGTAAAATGTTGTCAATAATATAAATGACCTTAATTCTTCCCTAATTCTCAGGTGTGTGGTGCAACTTCTTTCCGCAGTTTCTGCAAAACCCTTAGAAATACAGTACTCCCAGCAGAAGGCACTGTATAAATGCAAAGTGATATTATAATTAAATGTTAAGATATTTTCTTTTAATATCAATAGAGTAAAAATATAGACCGGAAAATTGAAATGAAATCAGGAAAACTATTTACTGTTTCAAAGTTTGCATAAATAGTTGCCTTTAAATAAATGAAATATCAATTTACATAAATATATTTATTCAACAATTTTGATACATTACAATTTATTTTCTTCATTTATATTGTGGAAGTATATCTAGCTGTCTATATTCAGTTTAATTCACATCCCATTGCCAAAGACCTGCTGGGAAGTTTGTCAGGGTAAATACAGCCTGAGGTGGCCCATAGAGTGGAATTTCAAAAGAACTCAGCTTTGGCCTAATTCTGCTGCCATTGAAGTCCATAGCAATTTTATCATTGATTTTATTGAGTGCAGAATTAGGTCAATACTGAGGGTTTTCATAATCCCACCCATAATATGTAAATATAATTTTGTAGGCTACTAAGACCCATGTGAAGATTTTTTTTTGAAATATATATAATAGAGTTTTCAAAAGCACTCATTGTAGCCCTAACTTTGTATCCACTGAAGTCAATGCTTAAATACCTCTGCCCAGAACCAACTGTAGAGGGAATTCTATAGAAAAGTAAATGGAGCCTGTTATATTTTCTTCCATATCACCTCCCGTCCCCACACATAGATCTTGGACCAAAAATAAGTCTCTCTGGCGATTGGGTTGTGTGTATGTGTGGGAGGAGAGAACAGGATAACAGGGAAGCCGATCCACACAGGATGGTGCCTTCTGTATGAATTCAGAATGTACAGTTTGGTCTCCCAGGGAAAAAAATTACTTAGGAGACTTAATCACAATATGTAACTTAATTGCTCCAGGCCTGATTGAATGCTCTTTGAAGCCAAGAAAAAGACTCCCATTGTCATCTGTGCACATTGTATCAGGCCCTTTATCCACACTCCTAAACCATCCTCCTTTTCTACAAACAAACTTAATATTTAAGGAATTCAGTGATAATAAATTAGTAAATGATGATATAGTAGTGTCATATCTTCAGATGACAGTTTTTATAGAGGAGCAAAGTATTATTTAATATAGACTGTAATAAGCAATGAAAGTATCTCTTACCTCTTAATCCATTTCTGTTTTTCCTTCCTTATATAAGCCAGAAAAAGAAGTGCAGATCTAAACTTTAAACCAGTCCTTGCCATTTGGCTGCAAGATAACACCCCTCCTCAGAATAGGATAAGTACATTAAGATATCATATCTTCAAGCTCTGGGACCTGTTGGGAATTCACTAACCTCTAATGTCATGTTATGTTAACTGTGCCCTGTTTGCATTTTCCCTGTACTGTAAACTAAACACATTGTCAGCATATCAGTTCTAATTAATGAATTAGGATTTTTAATAACATCCTTGTTACAGATTCAAAAATTACTAATCACCAGCATAGAGATTTATTAGCTTTATTATTTTCTGTGCCTGATTGTTGTTTGTGCAGGTGGAGATTTAAATGACCATATCCACTGCAAAGATTTATGGCCCAAGTGATTGATGTTATGAACCAGGAACAGAATTCTTCCCAGAAAGGGATGATAGAAATCTCAAGTTGAAGGTGCTTGTTTCTTTGAGCACAAGTGACCAGAGAGGGCAATATGCAAAGCACAAGAAAAGCCCAGAAAATAGTAAAAGGATATCAAGCAGAATAGGTTTTCAGTTAAATGATTTTTAATTGCACCTTAAACATTTGTCAGAATATTGATTAGATGGGAAATTAAAAATGATGTTCAGATTTTATAAAAACATCCAAAACACATGCTAATAAATACATTGTAAAATGCATCTTCATACACGTGCATTACGAATCTGAATTTTGATCATACTCCAACATCCTCCAGTTTCCAGTTGTCCCTTCTCTCCACTCCTACCCCATTGTTTCCAGTCCTGCTGGGCACCTCACCCGCTTTCCCTAGCTCCTAGTCTCAGTCATTTTGCACAGCTAGTTGCAGTTCTCCCCTTGCATCCTGGCTTCTAGTCAGATCTGTCTTCCCTTCACCTCACTTTGTTCATTCCTTGTTGGTTCTCTGTCCCAGTCTCCTTGTCCAGCCACTCTCGATGTCCCCCAGTACCCAGTCTCAGCTCATTGCCTCCAACAGTCTCTCAGTCTCTCCTTGTTTCCCTCCAAGGCTCCTAGTCCCACTCTTCTTATCCAATCACTCTCCCTTTTCTCCTCACCTTGCTCTCAGACCCCATCTCTCCCCAGCATTATGCCAAAGTATCCTAACACAGATACTCCCAGCATCCCCCTTCGTAGGTCTCAGAACTCTTGTGCAATCAGTCTAGTATCCTTCAGTTCCTAGTCCTTTTCTTCTCCATTCCTATCCCCACCATGCTCAGCCCCTCTGTCTCTCTGCCCCCACTCTCAGTCCCAGTTTTTTTCTTTCTCTCTTCCTACTGGGCTCTCAATCCCAATGTACTCCTTCTCCCCACCCCTTCGTATGCTTTTTGTCCTCTCTGCATATGAAAGCACCTTTCTCCATAACACTGCCTGGGCATCCAAAGGGGGCCATTGAGAGCACAGGTAAGACAGGACCCCATGCTTCCAGTACCTTCTACAATTCCTATTTTCATTTTATATCACCAAAAAATCTTTTGGGTCTGACATAGCGCATACATTTGATCTCAGCTGAAAGCTAAATGTGAGCGGCTAGAATGACTCAAAAACAGACAGTGCTACATGCTAATGTTAAACAACTATCACCATGATAATTACATACACACAACTACATTAAGAGAACATTAGGGTTACAAAGTCAAGCAATCAAAAGTTAGGACAAGCCCATATTGAGATTGTTCTTACAACACTAATTTGGCTGCCTTGTGCCTACACCTTATAATGCAGACTTTAATTACATGATAACATGCTATTTTTTTCTACAAGACCCCTGCCTCATGCAGGGTACAGGAAATGAATCAGAATTTGCAGTGAAGGAGGTTGCTCTTTGTAAGACCCTGTCACATTTGCCGTAGAAGTTGGAAAGAGTCTAGTGAATTAGGTAGGGAACTGCAGGAAGAGAAAGGATAATCTTATTGTTAAGGCAGTTGAATGCTTCCCTGGAGAATTGGTGCATAAGGCATTTTCCTGACATCAGAGTGCTTCCCTTGTCAAATTTTAAGTTCCTGATCAAAAGCATGGAAATGATCGGGTCTTTTAATCAAAATGGCTGTACGAATTTTTTATCATGGGCAAAACAACATATTTTTCCTTAACCTCATCTTGTGAAATAGCGAACCATTTCTGCTGAATTGAAATCAGATACACAAACAAACAGCTTGAGCCACCATGGAAAATTTCAGGCTGAATTGTTAAAATTTGCCAAAATGTTAAGCAACTGAAAACGGGGTTTTATAATGGCAACTGTCAGGCAACCTTATCTATAGGTCATCATTTATAACTTGCCTACGTCATTTATAACTGATTCAAGACCAGACGTATTTTACTAGTTATGCAGTCCCATTCAAATCAACAAAGCAGCCCACAGAGTACCATACTACATGAAGAAGAGTGGCACACTCTGGCTCAGTATGGACAGTGTTGATTTCAGGTGATATTAACATTTAAGACAGAGCTGATATTAACATTCAAAGCCAGTGTGTGTGTATTGTGGCCCCAGTTGTGAAGATTGCTGCCAAGTCCTGTTTGACTCATTTTCTACCTCTGTGACTGGTCTCGCATGAGGAATACTGAGAATCCTCTCACCTTGCTGTGTTAATCAATTCCTTTATGAGCTCTATTAACCTCTTTTATTGGTGAACAGCACAAAATGTAGATACATAGTTGTAACAGCATAAGACAGACACATTTTTCATTCAAAGAGACACGTTACAGGTATAGGTACACATGAACAAGTAGTCCCAGATGACATTTCTTCTGTGCATGAGCAAATCAGCCAGCTTAACATTTCTTTTCACTACCATGCATGCAAATAAGCCTCAGTCTCTCCAACATTTGTGGGCCGCAAACACAAAAACGGTATGAGATTGGCTGATGCTTGCATTTTTAAAATGCACTTGCAAGAACTCACAGACAATGATGTGTGATATCCGCACATCTGTGCTACAGTATTTTATTTAAGGCTTGCAGGATGCATTTTGGAAACATTGCCACATAGCTGACATTATAAGTCACAGGCCCCTCAAAAGAGAAATATGCAAGAAACAATATATTTAATGAAAAATGATCACTGAAGGATTAAAGTGCAGACGTAACTATTTTATTTTGAATATCTCTTTACATACTGTTTCTATGTTGGCTAATTCTTTGCATTTTTGTGGTTTTAAAACATGATGAAGTTTGTCGATAAGAAATAATTTCTGTATTTGTCTTCCAATAGTTAGTACCTTGGATACAGTTGTGAAAAATGATTTCAGCTTCTGGAGAAAATGGAAAAGCGGGATGTAAATGCTTACACCTTGTTGTCACTATTGGTGTGTGTTAGTGTGTGTATTTGAGAATCACAACAATTTTCGTATTTTTTGTTTCTTGGCATGATTGTAGCACAAAACACACACACACACACACACACACACACACACACACACACACACACACACACACACAGTGATTGAATTTCCTAAAGTCAGGCCTCAAAGGCACCCATCTTTTGCCAAGCTCAGAGCTGCAGTGCCATGTTCCCAAGGTGTCAAGGTGTGTGGTATAAAATGGAAGAGATTCCAGTTGCTGCCCTCACCCTTAATAGAGTGAGTCATTTTGTGTCCTCCATCTGCAGCCAAACTAAGCATCACATGGGACCCATAGTCTCCACGGATTTCATTTCTCTGTTGCAGGTGAAGCTGGCCGCAAGTTGCACTGTAGCACTTCATTGGGCATGTGGGGTACTACTTTTCTACTCCTGATATGAGGCCACATTAAACCTTCAGATGCCCATGTACAGCTTCACCGAAATCAATAGGAGCTATATGCCCATCAAAGCCAGTATTTGACTAAAGATGGTACTACAACAAATCAGAAAACAAATTACACACACACACACACATATATGTAATTGCATGCAGGGACATGGATTTGCTCAACTAAATAGTTTGTTTAGAGATGCGTGTGTGTGCATGGCTCTGAGCTGGGAAAAAAAAAGCCAGAGAAATGGAGCGGGAGATAGGGGTTCTGGGTACACAGAGGAAAGCAAATGATGCATTTCCTAGGGGATGCAAAGACCACAGTCACTCTGCACTCCTTTAAGCTCTGACAGGCCTTGTACATGTCTCACAAACAATGACTCTCATAGCTCCTGGCATATCCCCAAAGTGGGGTCATGGCTGTTTGCCACAAACCAGCCCTTTGGTTTTATGATGCATCTAATAGACGGAGAGCTGTAATACATATAGAAAATATGGTTGTTTTAAAAAGCAATGTTGCAAAAGCACATAAAACTCAATGTATATAATTTAGAGAAAAAACAGGTTTACAAAAAAAAATGAAATGGGGAAGAGAATAAAAAGAAGACCAGAAATTTGGGAGGGGAGGTGCACATTGAAGGGGAATTTAGCAGGTTTGGGACAAGACTGAAGAATTAAAACTACAAAAGAAGTAAGAGGAGAAGATGACAAAAATCACAGAGTGGGAAGGAAATATCTTTTTTCCCCTGTACTACTACTGTGTAGGTGTAACTAAGTACAGATGATACAGAGCCCAAGATGTTCCAAATAAACTAGAGATCGGAAAGTCTCTGCATTAGTGTCCAACTGAGACCCTTTAAAGAGGACTAATTTTCAGAAAGCTCACCCTCCCTTTTGAAAATCAGGCCCCTTGAAAGTATATCAAGTTGGGCACACCAAAACTGAAGAATGTAAAATCACTGGTCACTTCAAAAAAAGCTAGGTCACAGATTTTTTAAAAAATTATTTTCAAGGTGGCTACAATGGAAAAATCATACAAGAATCCTGCTACCAGTTTCAGTGTCCATGCTTTTTCCTCTAATGTTGTTCTTGTCCTTTATTGTTGTAAGCCATACTCCTTGATGCTACTTTTTCGCACAAACAATAATCCCTTTCTCTCTTGCTATGTCTACACTACAATGATCTATCGGAAAAAGGTACGCAAATTGCACTAATAGTTTTTTCAGAAGAGGCATTTCCAAAATTTGGCCAGTCTAACACTGGGCCAAATTTCAGAAAAGCCTCCTTTTTCAGAAGAGCCCTTCTTCCTCGTGGGAGAAGGAAGACAGGCCTTCCGAAATAGCGCGTCTGCTCTTCTGCAAAAAAAAGCAGAAGAGTGGACGCATTCCCTGGACGTGGCAGAATTTTTCCTGGATATCCCAGGAAAACCCAATAGTGTAGACATAGCCTCACTGGGGAGAGTAGAAAAGATAGTTCTCCATGATCCTTGGAATTTTTTTGCGTGGGGGGTGCACCACTGCATCTTAAATACTATCTTTCATCCTGGATTATCCTCAAACTATAGGAATTTGCCCTGGACATACAGGTTAACACAATAGTCCTTGCTAACATATGCCTGGGTAGGACTGGGGCCCTCATCTGGTCTTGTGTACCTTATAAGATCTGCTCTGATGTTTAAAAGACCCATATATCTTTAAAAGAATGTAAAAGATCAAGAGCATTTTGAAAGGTTTAGGTCTTGGTGTATATTTTTATTCCATAAATTGAAATGTGCTTAACACACTTGAATTTGTTCTGTCATCTTGTAGACAAGCTAATGGTAGAGTTTACATTTAAATCTGAACTTCTTTGTTTATAAATAATGAGGTGAATTTATATGATAGGAAAGTATCCTCTATAATCAAGAACCATTTGGTTAGAATTTGAAATCATATGAAATTATGGCAAACTGTACTGTGCTGCAAATATACATCATAGTTTGTTGCGGGGACATCCAGATCCAACTGTTGTTGAACCAAACAAAGATATAAATGATAATTGTAGCAGATATTGAGATCCCATGCAATATATTTGGGGCCCATATTGCATAAATTTCATATATCTCTAGTTTGTGTACAACTTCAGTGGGAGGATTTCCACAACTCCTTTAGGAACCAAATACTGTGTAAGATGATTAAGATGAAACATTTAGATTGTAAAGAGACAAAGTGAGTGAGGTAATAACTTTTATTGGACCAACTTCTATTGGTGAAAGAGATTCAATTTTGAGCTACACGGAGCCCTTTTTCAGCTCTGGGAAGGGTACTCTGAGTGTCAGCTAGATATAAGTGGAACCAGTTGTTTAGCATAAACAGTTAATACATATTGTAAGAGACCATTCCAAGTGAAGTGGCCTATTGACAGTCATAGGACCAAAAAAACAAAAAACAAAAAACCAGGGCTAGAAGTTACAGATTGTTGTGATAAGCTGTAAATCCAGTCTCTTTATTAGGATCATGATTTTTAATGCCTGGCAAAGTTATGAATTTAAGCTCCTAGATTCATCTTTTGAGGATGTTCTGCAGGTTTTCTTTGAGGATGAGGACTGAAAGGTTACATTTGGAGGTGATCATTTTGTTAAAATGGGTGATATGGTGTTTTTGTCTTTTATCATTTTAATGTAGGAGTTCATTCAGAAAGGTAGCATTCCCCGAGAGGGCCTGCATATACTGGTTCATATTGGGATTTTTGGACACCAACAGACAAAGAAAGGTCTTTTGGCATTAAAAAAATGTATTTAAATTGCCTCAGGGCCTTCTTTCTGGTATAGCAAATGGATGTGATCTTCTGTCCTTGGAGAAGGGTTAGAATGACTTAGGCTTACTAGGTTCATATAAGACAGATAGGTGACATATGGTGAGCTTTTAGTATGTTTACAGGAATTTCTGGAGATTTTCATTGTAATGCTTATACCTTAAGAATAACTGTGCTTGCTCAGAAAAAGCTGTGTGGTAACTTTTGGCAATACACAGTTCTTAGCCCTCAGTGACAAATCAACATACAGGTGCTCACCTTTAAGCAGACTGGCTTGTTGGGGATGTCATAGTGTAAAGTAGGGAACTGGCCAACCTTAAATTCTGTGGTCAGAAGGGAGTGTGAAATGTGACCCTATGTAGACATGTGATAGCTAGAGACCTGAAACTTGATTAGACACTCCTGGAATGGACCATGGAGAGGGAGACACAGGTGCAGTCACAATTTCAGGGTAACAACAACATACCCATATTGTTGACAAAACCAATTGCAAAGATTCAGCCCAATGTTTGAAGGTGAACATAAAATTAAGCCCTTCCTACTCACTGTAAATGAATTCACACTGCAGATTTGTACAGGTAACACCAAAACTTACATGGTGTAACATGATTTTCAAAGACAACTAAGGGCTTTGGATTTCCACTAGACATATTAATCTCTGAGGCCCTCTAATGCAGTGTTCACCACACACTAACCCACATATTAACCACACTAATTCAGGACAGGAGAGGCTAAATATAGGCAAGAGAAGCCAATTAGTCATATGCTGCATGCTGGAGGGAGCTAGGACGCAATGAGACTTAATTGGGGATGAATTTCACATGGGCAGAAACAGGAAAGGATTCTAGAGCACCGGGGAGCTGACAGCACAGAGAAGTGGGCGGTAGTGAGGAAGCCTGCAGTCACACTTCCTGATACAAGGGGGAGCCTGTAACAGGAATGTAGGAAGTAGTCCAAGGATGGAGCAGTAAAGTTGAGACCACGTGGACCTGATTTGAGGGTCCCGGACTGGAACTTGGAGTGGAGTGTGGGCTCTTCTATTAGCTGTAAGGTAGTGGCACAGTGAGTGCAGTGATAGGGAGACTGCTGAGATTTTGGGACTGCAGGTTGAGTGACTGGAGTAACGGGCAAATGCTGGAGGGGATGTGGAGAGTTGTGAACTAATCTCCCAGATGAGCCAACAGGAGGTGCTGCCAAACTGTGAATAGTAGACCCCAGACAGGCATCTTTGAAAATCCCAATACTACAGCCATAGTCTACATGTAAGATATCAGCCTCTGTCTGAGCTTGTGTGGAAATACGCGAGGTGAAGCTTCAAAGATTTCCCTAGTACAACCCCCATCTCCTTCTACTTTTCTCTCTGGCTGTGTGTGTGTGTGTGTGTGTGTGTGCGCGCTCTGTATCTCTCCTTGCTCCTTTTGTGGTGCTATCTAGGTGCAGTCTCCTGTAAGTGACCCTCCCCATGAGTAAAAGTTACACATTCTAGTCTCTGCAATCTTCTGTGGGAAAGTAATGTAGTACAAAGTAGGCTATCCAAATGAGAAAGGATAGCCCAGTGGTTAGGATGTTAGCCTGGAATTTTGGCTATCTTCATGTAATTCCTTGCTCTGACCTTTGGAAAGTGTCTCAATGCCTCAGTTCTCCATCTGTAAAACAAAGATAATATACTTTTTATACACAGATTTTGTAAGAAGAAAAATGTTAACTTTGATCATTTTAGTGATGACTTGAGGATTTAACAGTAAAACCAAAGGAGGCTAGTATTGGTAACACTATAGCACAACTAGCAAGTGACCTTAGCCTAAATTACTCAAACGTCCCCAAACTCTTCAGGAAAGAAAATAAAGCATTGCTCAGTGTTTCCTGTAATTCTCTCTCATTGATGACACAGAATTCCCAGGGGAGTTCTAAAGCTGTTTGTAAACTTTTCTTACACCTTTTTGTAAACCTGATTCTTGAGTCTTACTACAGGCCACGTCTACCAAAATAACTAACTAATGGAGATGCTCGGGGGAAATGATGGCCTCACTGAAATCAAGGGCAAAATTCCCATTGACTTCAGTGAGGTGAGGATTTCATTGTTTAAAGATTACCTCTATTAGCCAGTTATCTTCCAAAATGATTTATTTTGGGGGATTTTTAAATGCATCTATATAGTATTTTAACATCAAACAGTTTATGCTAATGCATGACATGTTAGAGGTGTACAGCGAATCAAACCTTGTTTGCCTCAGTCTGTTCTCAAAACCTAGCAGTTTCACACATAATAAAATAGGAACATTTTTATTGTTTTATATTTTTAAAAGGTTTCATTTAATGGGCCCATCTGAGGCCAACAGCTTAAATTAAAAAGAAAATAATGAATATTTATATTCACAAATAAATATTTAGACATCTTGATTTAAACAATCCAGGATCAGCACAGTCATGAAGATCACAGGGGCCAGATTTTCTCTCCCAGATTTGGCTGACTCACTAGGGATTGGAGCAGAGACCAACAGAGCTACAAGCATGAATTGTTACAGTTTGCATTCAAAAGCCAGGATTTGTATTTGTGCTGGAGAACTGTAATACACCCACACAGAGGAATATATACACCAGTGGGTTGCATACACACCTAAATGAGGACCCAGCCTTTCCGAACAGTTCAACACTCAGCAGTTTGGATGCTTATCCTTTTTGAAAACACAGCCCTCTCCTTAGGTCCCACAAGGGGAACTAAGCTCTTTTAAGAATCTGACATATGAAGTTCTTGCTTGGGGTCCTATTCTTTGAGGTTCTCAACACACCTTCAGCTCTTACACTACAATGTTACAGTGAGAAATGAGAGTGCTCACAGGAGGTATACAGTGCCTGCAATAGCAGGATCAGCCCCATAAGTAAAGTTCTTTGTACATCATAAAAGGCCATTTGCCCATTTCAGATAATCAAATGGCAATGATCATGACATCAAACAAGTATGAGTTTGATATGAAGGCTCTAGCTTTATTGGCTTTACAGCAGAAGTGATAACAAAATAAATATAAATAATTTAACTCAACAAGGGAAACTTTGTTGTTTCTATTTTCTAGTTTGAATAGCTCCATATACACTTCCTTTCTTCTCCACATACATTCTGCATTTGTCCATTTTTCTTCATTATCTATCTTTTTCTTCTCAGTCTGCAGCATCTCTTAACAACTCTGCCTTTGTGAACTTTCTAAGCTGTCTTCCAGGATTTTTGAAGTGATCCTAACAGCTGATATGTGTTCAAATTTTCAAAGAGGCTTCTAAATGGGCTGTAAAATTATACTTACTTTTTTTTTACAATTAAATATGAAAAAAACTCAACTTTGAATGTCCATAAACTGTATTTGTGCATGCAGGTTTGATTTTCTGTGTAAACAATTTGTAGCTGTGAATACAAGTGGGCACAATTTGAGAGGATGATTTTGCAAATGTAGCTCTTTAATGTTAGTGTTATTTTTATGTTGTTGACATGTAAGTATAGATGGCAAATACGACAACAGCAGTACTGTTATTTATATGGTACATTTCTTTAGTAGATCTGAAAATTCTTTATGAAGAGGGGCAAGTATCATTCTCACCAAAATGAATCACTAATTCTCTCCAACAGTTTTTATTAAAGATAATTGTAAAATACACACAAATTACTCTAAAATCTTTGTTTTCACTTTAAATAAGGAAGGCAAAACAACTCTGGAATACATGTTGGGATACATAGAGGTGTTGGGGAGCGAGAGGGGAAATGCAGTGATGAATGATCAGTCATTCAATTGTTTTCTTTCTTGCAGAAATTAGAGACAGAATACAGTTTATCTTACCCTGACTTTTAGCAAGACAGATTGCCATGCAAAACCCCCAAGTTGAAATCATCCAACCACCAAGCAGGGTGAAAAGAGCATCCTAGTTGAACACCCATAGCTCACACTATCTCCAGCTCCTGACTAGATTCTGTGTTTTTTCACACTCAGAAAACATTTAGCATGATATTTAAAAATCCTGGCTTTGCTAAATTAATGGCTAGATAAAGTGATTTATTTAGGACCAGAGTCTGCCCTCCTTAGTCACACTTAGTACCTTAATCCACAAGTAAGACTACCTGAGGGGTACATTACTACTCACAATGAATAAAGGTAGTACGAAGTTCCCTTTTTTATACTTTAAGTCATGTGTCTCTTGGCACATTACTTTAGATTAGAGATAGGTGAAGTTTTCAGGCTAAACTTTTTTCACTTGATGCAGATTTGGGTCAACTGAAATATTTCACAAATAGAAGCAAAATGGTTTTTTGTTTCAAATTTCACTTCAATTTTATTATTGTTTATAATGATTAAAAATTGAAAGCAAAATGAAAATTTTAATTCTGTCTGGAAAAAAACATTTTCTTTGGTCTGGAATGAATTTCACCCCACCCCTAACTTTTAGATTAACATTTTTTTAAAATGATTTCAGGGAGACGCTAAATGATTTTTTTAAGGTTTGGTTACCAGTCTAAGAAATCAGTTATTTGCCCAGCTCTACGTTTAGATTTCATTAAGCCTCATTCTTCTCTCAGTTGCATCAGTTTTATACCAATCTTATCCCATTGAAATGTGTGAACCTACTCCTTATTTATACTGGTGTAAGTGAGAGAAGAATTGGGCTGTATAAAGTTAAACACCTCACATAATGGCAACATAATGGGGTGTTATTCATTTGGAGCATTTCTCTATTTATCTTTATTAATATATTTTTCATCTTTCTTACTGACTTGGACCAGCACTCTGGACACAAATTAAGTATTAGTTATTTGTTTAATGAAATCCAGTGGCAGTGAGCAGAAGGCAGGACAGAAAAAAATTTGTGCTGGAAAGTGGTACAGTTTCTATAACACACCAGCAGTGGCCAAGTGCTCAGTGGGCTAGGTAATAAGAGAGAGGTATCAAAGATAGAGATTTTAATGAGATTTTTCTGAAAGGTGATTTCAAAAAGTAGCAGCAGATTCTAACCCTTGCTTTTTTCCATGGAAGCATGGGAATTGATGTAAGTAGCAGAAGGAGACAGGAGGAAGGAGAGGGTTAAAGTACACTATCAATAACATTAGATTTCAAGCTGATCCTAACAGTTATAGGTTATAAAATTATAGATTAGAAAGCCAGAAGGGACAACTTTGATCATCAGGATTGAGTACCTGTATAACACAGGCCACAGAACATTCCTAAATGTATTTATTCCTTTTTGAATAAGAGCAGATCTCTTACCAAACATCCCAGTCTTGATTTTAAAATTTCCATTGATGGAGAATCCACCACAGTTTATCCAGGCATTTTGTAAATTCTGACACCATTTAAACCAATGTCTTTGTAAGGCTTGTGTTCAACAATGCATTTGATCTTGTGGCTAAATCCATCCCTATTTAGCAAAGCACTTAAGCACATAAATAGTGTTAAGCATGTGCTTAAGTCCTTTGCTGAACTGGGGGTGACTAACTCCTCAGTGGGCAGAGCAGGCTTTACAGATGATGTGATCTCTGTGCATGTTTGTGATCAGGCAGAGAAGCTGTCTCATCTAAGCCCATGCGAAGGGTCATAGGAGACTGTCCTCCCTGTGCACTGCGCAGACCACTCGGCCAATTTGTCAAGAATCCCATTGGATAAATAGCTGTCTCCAAATACCTTTATAGTGACAAATCCAAATAAATCAGAGTCACTTTTACGGAGCACTTCAGTGGACAGCTCCAGTTTAATGAATCAGCTGTCAGACCTCCAAAGAAGATCCCTCTTTCCAAACCCATAGAGAGCAAATCTTTGCTAAACAGTGACTTTTAGGGTGAAACTTTATTGATCCATGATAGGATATTGCATGATTGCTACTTGGCAATGTCACTAACAATAGGCCCAAATAGTCTGCCCATGAACAGGGGTCCACTCTGCCATGCTGCTCTAGAGATGCTGTTGGAACCCCTAGAGGGCTCTAAAAATCACTCACATGATCAAACAATCCAGTTCACATGAACAAAAACATTCCATAAACTGGATACTTGCTATAGGTCTGAAGATTTACACATTAGTGCTTAGGGAGGGAATCTGGTATTTCTTTATGATTGGAGGGGGGGGGGGGGGGGGGGGGTAGGGTGGAAAAACACACACATCGCGTACCCGAAACCTTGTGGTCTAATTATCACAGGTTGTGCAAACAGTTTTAAAGTTTAATGCCTTGATCCCCCCAACCTCCTCCACAAACTTCCATCTCCATTTTTTTCTCCTCCCCCCACCCCCTTTGGGATCCATCCAGCTGCCTGCTCAAATACCTGCTGGCGCCAGAAGAAATTCCCCTGTAACAGATATCCTGTGGTGTAAAACCAATATTTTGTTTCCAGGGTCATCCCTCCCCCTCGCCTCCTCTTCCCCACCACTCTTGCCTCACCAACCTGCCTCTTGGCCAAGCCAAAACATCAGGAATTATTGTGAATCCTCAGGGTGAGATTTCGGAGTACTTTAATAGGCTTGGTGATTGCTAGCTCACACATTTCTTCTGTTCCCCCACCTCACTTTGGGGAGCTTTCACTTCATAATTTGTCAGGTTAGCAAGGCTGCTTTATACAGGAGAGTTTGACTGCAATTTAACCAGAATGCAAGTGTTTATTAAGCACTAAATTTTCACA